GAGCCTATTTGATTTGCCTGCCGTGACACTCAGCTCGAGAGCCTGAGGTGCCTCGGCGGCTGCACGACTATTCCTTCAGCCGTGCAATGTCGTGAAAGTTTAGGCCCTCACGACACTTCAAGTCTGACACTAGAGTGTCATAAGCGGTACTCGAATCCACGAGGGACCGCTTGATTATGGGCACTACATAGTACGCCATCGATGCGACTGATTGTGTACGCCTGCATTGCAAGTCGATATGAGTATGCCCTGCGTCCGCGTGGTCTTATACCAAGTTCAGCGCACGACGCCTATCCGATTTCCGCACTGGAAAGTTATGGGTCGGCTACCGAGGGGCTAGGAGCGTTGTCGCGTTGTTGGTACTGTGTCATTTCGTATATATGTTGTTTTGTGTATATGAGTATTCGTAAAGTGGAGTGCGCGTAGTGTGTGGGATGCGTCCTAGTCGACCGACGATGAGTCGCGCTTGGGATCTCAGCCCCCCCAAGATGTCGGTTCGCGTGCGGGTCCGATAGAGGCGTATTACCGCGCGTACCCCCTATGCTACAGCGAACGAGAAACGCCCTCGGCTAGTCCATCTCTGCGATTGCAACTGATTAGCTTTCGTACTGTGGACTGGTAGCTTGGCGGGGATCTCCCACCGAAGGGAGGTGACAGCTCCCGTAAGGTGTAGGTAAGTCGTGCCTCCCGTAGGCCCTATCTTGTCGTAGCGGCTCACGAGAGGTATGGCTGGCGCACCCAGCCGGAGCGGCTTGCGGAAGCTCCATGTATATTGCGACAAAGGGTTATGAAAACCAACTCCTGCGTGACGCGGCCGGGAGGGTCCCGCGCTGCCCCCGTGCGGTGCCGGACCGATGCGCCCGACAGGTGGTGCCGTTGCCGGGGATAACGGAAAGCCTACCGTTGTCCCTGGTGGAACGACATCCGGGTATGAGAAGTGAATAAGAAAAGGCATAAAAGAGTGATGAGAAGGTATTGAAGGAATATATGAATGACTAAACGTAGGTGAGAAAATTTACCTACCCAAGTAGAGGAAGTATGAGGGACGATCGTGTTAACAGTGGGTAAAGTAAGTACTAAGGGTTAGGTAAGACGAATGGAATAAACCAGTCAATGTATAATGTTGAATAAGTGGATGTACTTGTTTTCTTTTGCCAGGGAACTTAAAAAGAAAAGGCTGTCAAGATGCCTGAGACTGGCGGTGCATCAGTTGTTCCCAAGAAGGGCCTGACACTCGATGACCTCATCACGGCCATCGACCGACATGAAAGGAACCCGAGCAACATCCCGAAGGTCGATACTTTCCATTTCTGTGGAGAGAGAGTCTCAGAATGGCTAGAGCGGGTGGAACAAGCTTTGGTCGGGCAGCCGGATGTTGTAAAGTTTCAACGCATCCTTCAGTATGTCCTCCACAGCTACCATCAGGAGGTGAAGAAAGTCATAGATGCGGCTCAAGGTAGCTGGGAAAGGTTCAAGGAGGGGATGCAGAGGAAATACCGCCTGGGAGACGGGTTGTTGACTACCACGGACCTTGAAGCGATGAACAAAGAGGATTTTACGACTATAGGRGCCTTTGTTCAAGAATTTAAGAAGAGGGCGCGGAAGGTCCATGGGATTTYRGAGGAAGCACAGWGCGCCATCTTCCTGGGGCTACTCACAGCATCGGAGGCCGTCGAGTTGACAAGACATGGAGGAGGTAGCACAAAGCTCACCTGGGCCACCATTGACARAGGGGTGRAAGTTGGGTGCTTGGACYAGGTGGAACAGCGTCAGGTACRCCTGCAAAGRCAGAAGAGAAAGGAAAGGGATGCGACCGCTTCTGGGACCCCGGGAGTAACAAGGATTGTTACAGACRTATTGGCAYAGCTAGGGTATGCGACAGAGCCAGTGRTGCAAAGAAGGGTGGTGACGGCTGTCAAAGWAAAMRGAAAAGAGCCAGTGATAGAGGAGGCTGGCCAGGAGGAGCTCTGGGAAGAGGAAGAGCCGGTGCCGCAGCACCTGACGAAGGTCCAGCGCAAAGTGCGTAATTTGGCGCAGGGCGGACAGGGATCAGGAAAAGCGCAGGCACCTTAAACCCAGGCAGCAGCCCCTTTAAATGTGGCGGCTCCATCATCTAGTACGGGCCCCTCGCAAGGTGGGGCCCCCTCCTATGGACAGTGGCCCTGACCAGTGATCAACGCAATTGTGCCATGGGGAAGTACGCCGCCAGTAGCCGGACCGCAAACGAGTATGCCACCACCCATCTACCCCGTGGCCCAGACCCAACCTATGGCCCCGCCACCGTCACCTGATCCTAGTTCACAGGGCAGTGTTGTAGGGGGTGGGAACCAGGGGCAGGGCAATCAAGGCAGCGGAGGGAGGGGTGGAGGGAAGGGGCGAGGCAGGAATGGCGGCGGAAGAGGGAGGCAATGGAATGACCAAGGCCAAGCGAGTCAAGGCCAAGGGAGTCAAGGCCAAGGGAGTCAAGGCCAGGGGTACCAAGGCCAACGGAGTC